CAGCCCCGCCCAGACCTCGCCCCAGCTGGCCGCTGGCCCCTGACCGGTCCCCGGGGGCCCGATCGCGACCACCTGAGATCGCCGCGCCCACCTGCGCCCGTGTGCCGGCACCATGGCGGAGCAGGAGAACCTGGAGTTCGGCAAGGCGGACTTCGTGCTGATGGACACTGTGTCCATGCCCGAGTTCATGGCCAACCTCAGACTCAGGTGAGGGCGGAGCGGCCGCACGCTGGGCTTTCCCGAGAGGGGGCGCTCGGGCGGTGTGGCCAGATTCGGGGTGTCCGGGGCGCGCCGAGCGCGAGGGATGGAGCGCGGCGGGATTACGGTGCCAGGGGGGGTCCTTTGAATTCGGTGGTCACGTTTCCTCGAGAAAAGACGCAGATGGGTGTGGCTTTGGGGGCTCAAGGGGCGAGCCGGTGTTGTGGGTTGCGCTGTCCTGAGGAGGGGTGTCATCCTTGGTGATGGAAGGGGCAGGCTGAGCTGGAGGTGCGTTTGGGGCAGCGCACCATCCCACCCCCTACGCCAGGTAAATCGTGTAGGCGGAACCGAGTGACCTAATGGAAACAAAAGTAAAAGAAAATAAAAACTTTAGGGAGAGTCCTGCTGGCTCTCCCCAGGGCCGTAGGAGGACTGGAGAGTTGTTTTGGAAAGAGGCTGGCGTCTCCTCCCTGTTTCACACTTGCTTCTTTTCTTTTTTTTCTTTCGTCTTCTTTTTTGTTTCCTGGACTGTTTCCATCATGTCATTCAGGATGCTATGGAGTGATCCCTGAGCTGTCTGTTCCGGGATGCCGGCTATTTTTTAGTTATTCGCTAAACGTAATTAAACACGTTTCCAGACATCGAAGAGACTGCTATACTTGGCAGTGCCAAGATAAACTGTCTGAATTTGACAAGGAGTTCATGGTTTCTGTTTTTTTTTTTTTCAAGGAGTTATGGATGGAGCCCTTGTGTTACTGACATCCTTGAGAATGTAGTCACAACTGAATCCCCCAAATGGGCTCCCAAGTTGAATTTGTTATGTCTTCTACATGTGATAATTTCATTTTGATACAGTAATATGTAAGCAGAGGTTTAAAGCAGTTCGACTTTAATCAAAATAGCTAGTTGGGGTGGGGGGTGTTTTTCTGGAAGTTTTGTCCTATTTTTTGTAAAGTTTATAGCTGAACGTCACCTTAAGCTTATAACATGAAAGTCATAGTCTAGTTTGGATGCTTAACTCACCCTACTTGTCTGTATTGCCCCTGTCAACTCTAATTTCAGAATTCTTTTGAAAAGCTGGTTTACTCTTTGAAATTGCAAACCACACGAAGAATTCATCTCTTCTTTATCAGTTTCATTAAGTCCCAGAGGGAGAGCATGGAGCAGGAGTACAGACCTAAGTTCTACACCTGCCTACCACAAATTGACCTCGAGCTGCTTAGTGGGCCTCGGTTTACTAATTTTGTAAAATAAGAGGGACCTCCAGAATTTCAGTGCTCATATTCTGTGATCCAAGTTTTCCAGGATATCTTTCAATGATTCCAAGTTTTCCAAGGGTAGACAGTCTCAAAGTTTCACAGTATCTTTCTAAATAGCGTTGCATAGGAACATAGTTGTTCCTTCTCAAGGAATTGGTACCAGGACTCCCGGTTAATCCTAAATTTTATATAAAATGATGTAATAGAATAGTTTCTTCATACCTGTGGGGAATATGTTCCAAGACACCCTCCATACCTGAAATCTCAAGTAGAACTTAACCCTATAAATACTGTTTTCCCTATACCTACATATCTATGACAAAGTTTCATTTATAAAGTAGACACAGTGAGAGATTAAAAACAATAATTAATGAAATAGAACTATTATAACAATATATTATAATAAAAGTTATGCAAATGTGGTTTCCATTTTTCCCTTTCAAAATATTTTATTGTACTGCATTCATCTTTCTTGTTGCCTGTAGATAGTTAAAATTAGAGGAAACAAAATTTCCGGTTGTGGGATTACCATACTTGCGTGTAACTTAAGCATATCCTCTGGTATACTTTAAATCAGCTTTAGATTATTTACATACCTAATACAATATAAATGCTATGTGAATTAGTTGTTGTACTATATTATTTAGGAACTACTGATGAGGAAAAAAAGTTTTATGTGTTCAGCAGAGGCACAATTTTTCTCCAAATATTTTCAATCCTCAGTTGATTGAGAATGTAAACCTAGAAGACACAGCGTCAATCATAATCAGATTTATTACACAGCATTATGATAAATTGCTACATTTAAAATATTTTTTTGTAGTTGTACACAAAAACTTTATTTATTTACTTTTATGTTTTGCTGAGGATCGAACGCAGGGCCTTGCACGTGTTATGCAAGCGCTCTACCACTGAGCCATAACCCCAACCCTAAACTGCTACATTTTTTTCCAAAGTTTGGATCCCCACCTTTTTATAGAAATTGCTTCAAATACCATATTAATTAAAATGACATAACTCTACATCAGCTATGACCAGTATCCACTATTATAGTGATAAAGAGTCAGACTGTTGAGGTAAAAATTCTAGTTCTACCACTTTTTTTTGCTGAGGTTCTCAGACCAGTTATTTACATCTTTCTGTGCCTAGATCTTCTTATCTATACAATTGGGGGTTGTCTTAATTGTTAAATTAGTTAATATATGAAACTCCAAAGATTAATACCTGGCAAATACTTATTAACAATACTATTTAAAAAGTTTTCCCAAGTGCACATAAAGAAGATAAAGTGGTAAGCTAAATAATAATTTCATGGATTGGTGTTGTTTAAAATTATTAAAGAGATTCCACCCCTCCCTCCCTATGGGGGAAGATGCCTACTTTGAAAAATTCCTTTTTAATTTAGTCACTCTGTTTATATTCTTTTCAGTTTATCAGACACTATTAAATAATACTGCATATGAGACACTGTATAATAGTTGAATATAGATTCATTCATTCTAACCTCTATATGTCACCACTAGCAAATACATGATGTTAGTTGGAACTTTGCAGAATTTTCCAAATTTGAAATTGAAGGCTGTGTATAACTGAGTTACATCAGTTTGTAGAACCAGTCCTTTGTAATATAATTAAAACGCTTGTGAAAGTTATTCTTTTTTGTTTGTTTGTTTGTTAGGGGGAGTGCTCCCCAGGGCATTGAACCCAGGGCCTCATATATAATACACAAGCACTTTACCACTGAGCTACATCTTCAACCTTCGTGGCTTTTTTTTTTTTTAATAAATAAATTTGGGGAGGGCACTTAGAATGACTTAAAAAAAAAAAGGCTTTCACATTCATTGGTGCCAGAGTCTCTAAGTGTTCTGTTTGGATCTTTAAATCTCTAAGGTGAAACTAATTTAACTCCTGTGTGCACTGAAGAGAGTGCTGCAGTTCGTTTTTGTACCTTATTCGAGGTAGTCCTGAGGATGGAGTAGGTGGATCCAAAGAACTCTGAATAAGCTATGCTCCTTACCTTTTAAAGAGGTGGCATGTCAGCAAAAATAGGGAGAAAGTGAAAATTTCTGTTGATATAAAGAATAGTTCAAGAAAACAACAGAAGAGATGAACTTTACAGAGCTTAAGTGATTATTTGTGAAGTAATTAAGTGAGCTAATTGTGTTGGGAGTTCAGAAGAGGGAGAGATGCGAGAGGTTGTCTCAAACCCCATGGAGAGGAGGAGTTGAGCTGAGTCCCAGAGGATTGTCTGTATTTGTCTAGGTAGGTGTGTAGGTGGAGAACATTCCAGGTGGATAAGTGGCATGAGCAGAGGTTGATGGCATGAAAGCTGACTCTGTTTGAGTGACAATGAATAAGACAGGTTGTCTGGAGGGGAGGGAGTTGGTGTTGGATCTGTGGGAGGATCACCAGCTTCTTTAGCCCAGTGCTTGGCTTATGCCCAGGTCTCTAGGGCTACCTTTACACCCAGTCATCACATCAGCCAGGATCCTAGATGTTCAGATGTGTGTGTGTGCTCAACAATGAGAATTGGCTGCAGTTCTCATTGTATAGAACAGTGCTTGTTCGTGATTAACTTATAAGAGTAGATTCTCTGTAGTCATTAACATAGTCACAGCAAAGGGAAGCTCCATATTGTTCTTTCCAGCCATAAATCAATCCTCTGAAAGAAAACAGTTCTCTCCTAGATAGTTTGAATTTTGTATCACCCTAACATCCCTCTAGATTATTTAGTGTTCAGCTGTGTGCACTCCTGGGATCCTGCTGCTGTGCCCCTTAGATATTTGTTTCACTTTGTAGGTGACCAGAAACAACCATTGCAGATCAAGTAGGTGCAATGAGATGATGTTGAAGTGTTTTGTCCCATGGAACATCAGTGGTTTGGGCTGCACTGGGAATGTATGGACATCTCTGGAAGCCTAACATATACCTCACGGTCCTGTGAAATGAAAGATACCTGTCTCAGGGACAGTATCTTCAGCTCTGGCTAGTCCACTCCTGAGCAGCAGCCTACATTCTTCATTTTATGCAGATAATTAGGTGAAGAGTAAGTAGCACAGGGAGGAAGGACTAGGGGTTCCATGCAGCTTGCCTGGAGGGACTCTCAATTAGATAGGAGGCCACACTGATGGTTACAATGGAAGAACTCCAGAGTAGAAATGGCCCAGTCAAGGAAAAGAGGGACTAGGGGCTGCAGGTTCAAAACAGAAGTGGCTACAAAGAAAGCAGAACATGGTTGGTCATGCTGTGGTTGTGGCTTCAAGTGGACATTGGAGTTGTAGGCAGGAAACATCTCTGATCATGAAGACATGAAGACATTTGACCACAAGGAATCTTACTCCAAGGCACAGATCTTTGAGAAATGGACTGAGGAGTATACTACCACCACGACCTCTACCTCCTCCAAGAAGAAAAAAGAAATAAAGAGAACAAATCTCTCCTGGCAAGAGACTTCTGTAAGGAAAAGAAGGCAGACTTCAAGATGCTAGCAGATTCTGTTATGAGAATAAGAAATACAATTTGAAGCTCCTCAAATATACTCACACATCATCCACATCATCCCTTTAATATTGCCCCCTCCAGACCCCTATCCACAGACACATACCTACATCCATTTTTACAGATAATAATAGTAAAGGAAAAGCTGCACCACTTGTAGCAGGTGGATAAAAAGCAAGCTTTATCTCCAAGAGAAAAAACAAGATTAGAAAAGAAGTGATTCTTTTTTTTTCCCACTCCCTTTTTTTTTTT